TGCCTGGCTTCACTTCCTGGCTCTACCACTTACGAGCTATTGGATCTTAACCTCTTTGAGCCTGTTTCCTTATCTGAAAATGAAGTTACTAAAAATACCTCTCTCATAAGTTCGTGAAGAAGCTTAAGTTAAATAGTATGAAAATGCTTGGTATTTGCCCAATATGTAAGGCATACTCAATAAACGTGAGCTACAGTCATAAACATTAGGAAAGATGAAACATTTTTGCTTACAGGCCAGCACAGGTGAATATAGACTTAGAAGGACCCATCACTCAGAGGTGCTCCAGTCCAGAGCATTCTGAATAGACCAGTTACTTCTCTCATGCATCACTGATGACTAGGAATAATGATCATACCTCACAGGTTGTCATAATTGTTAAGGAAGAGAATGCTCAAGTAAGTAAAATCACTCCATGGACTGTCAAGCTGTTATTTTGGAGTTATTGATGGTAGTAGGGTAGTGCCGGGATCATTTTTCTGTGTATGATTTCAGTTCTTTTCTGGACCTTCCCATAACTTTGCCTCACTCCAACATCTCCATCTTCCCTCTGCCATCCTTTCTGGGACCCCTTAGGGGAAGGTTTGTTTTTAAGTAACAAAGCATGTTGACTAATTATCCTTATTAACACATATGCTTTTGGAGCTTATCTATAAAAGACAAGTCAGAGAAGTTGCCTCGATAGAATTTAGTTTCAATTCAGAACACCTCAGATCAGAAAGCAAACCCAAGAGGGCATGTGATTGTGTTAGACATAATTTTTAAAGAGATAAAATCACAAATCTTGTGCAAATATAAAATGAAATTTAGCAAAGATTTTAGTCAACTCATTAATTAATGAAAGAATCAGTAAGAGATTTGGACCAGTCCAAAAAGCTTTTGAGGAGGTGTAGTTATTTATAGTCAATTTAATGTTAGGACAAGACAGATGGGTTAGGCACATAACTAGCTAATGTCCTACAGGACAGTAAACCATAACCTTTAGGATTATCTTTTTCAAAAGGACAAAAATTATTTGCATTTATCTCTGTTTGTATCGTATCTACAAGCTTACATGTAACACAAAGTCTTAGAGTAGAGCAAAATGGATTTCTCTAGATAATCCTTGAGGGTGTTGGGGACAGGGGGTAATGCCATATTTGCCACCATGTGACATTGACGGGATGTGCCACACATCTTTCTGCCTTATGTTCAAGTTTTAGATAATTTTTTAACAATGGTAAATACTTATTTCAATTTACCAACAACCTTTTAATCTTACACGACACTTACAACAGCCTTATTGGGGCAAAAAGAGCAGGGAAACCTCGTTTTTCAGAGGCGGCCGAGTCGCACAAGAAGAGAGAATCTGAGCTGGGCGAACTCCCATCTCTAATTCCAGGTCCCATGCTCACCCCTAAATTACATATTGTACTTCCCTTTTGGGGTTTCCCTTCATCACAGTCCTACATTGTTCTTGGTGAGATTCTCGCCCCCCCGCCCCCCGTAAGATTTCCCTTAGGGATCACCTGAAGATAAATGCTCAGAAGAGGGAGGAGTCTCCTGTGGCCCCTACCCCTTGAATCCCCAGGGCACCCCTTGAATCCCCAGGTCACCCCTGGTCTGATCTAAGTCCTTTTACATCTCTGACACGATTCAGTTCCACAACATCAGATGAACCACATCCTACTATTCTGAGCCAAAGAAAATTGTCAAAACATTTTATCCTTCTCTAAAAAAAAAAAATAGATGCTACATTCCAAGAGTCCATTTTTTTAAGTGACAGGTCCTTTTAAGCTCTTCTCAGCTACCGTGAGCCACTGTGCCATCTTTCATCTGAGACGAAGTCCACATCAGAGAAACCCACTGTTTATAAGCCAGAATCTCTCTTGAAACACTATTTCTGGTTGATGTTTACCCCTCCTCGATAAACACGATCGTCATTTTCTATGTTGGAGATAGCTGGATCTGGCTGACTCCTGGATGAATGGTATGCAGTGGACCAATGGCTATTTATTGTGTTAAACAGTCTGCCAGGAAACTGGCTGCAAGTGTAGCCTGATGGCCCAAGTCTATTTCTTTCTCACAAGGCCTTTTTTTCCTCTCTCCCACAGACTTCTGTCACAGTGGAAAGTGTCCCACTAGCAGGCTGGAGACTAGGGCCAACTCTGCTTCTTACACCTAGTTAGAGAGGCAACACTTACATACATTAAACAGAGAGTAAGAAAGTATGTGGGGTGTACAATTAGTAAAGTAGTTCTGAAGTTCCTTAGAATTCTGAAGTTGGGAAAAAAAATTGATTCAGGGTCTCTCATACTGTTTACACAGGAAATAATGACGTAAATGAACATTCAGTACATAACAAGTGCAGACTGAGCCCTTTCCATGCAGGAACCTATTAAACCCTCACAGTAACTCCATGAGGCAGATTGATTCTTATGATCCTCATGACACAGACGATTAAAGTGAGACTCCGCAAGTCCATTCACTTGCCTAAGTTCAACAGGAGAAAGGTACAAAAATTGGGACTGAACCCCTGACCATCTGACCCCAAAGCCTGGACCTCTTAACACAAATAGCTGCCTGCTCTTTACCGCTCTTGCTTCCACCATAGGCTAGCGTTTCAAATGCTCTGGAAGCCCTTTTGCATCCAGTGCCCTCTATTTTTGTTTGATCACATGATCCTTCCCTCCCATAGCCATGCACCCTTTTGTAACCTCTCACAGAACGAGGATTCTTCAGAACAAGATTCAGGCAATCTTAACCCAGTTTTCTCGTTTTACAGAGGAGCAACTTAAGATGAGTGAGGAAATGAGTTGCCTCTAGCTGCCCAGCTAATAAATGTCAGAGTGGGCACTGTAGGGCCAGCCCCACCTCCACCCTGCAGACCAGTGCTGTGCTGTGCTATACTGTCTGACATCACTACTTCTAAATCAAACCCTGAGCCAGCAGCTCAGTGCTCCTGGCCAAGCATCAGGACTAATCCCCTTGTAGGATGACTATTAAATGAGCCACGCCTTAGAAGAACAATAATGCTTAAGCATGCAGGGTGCTTGGGCACTTACAAAATGCTTTCATACAGCTCTTCTGTGTCCAGGCTCACTGCCTCTGGGTCTATTTAAAACAATCCAACGATGAAGCCTTATTCATTAATTGTGTACCTCCCAAAGTAACCTTTGGATCACTCAAATATTAAGTGTGAAAGGATCACTGTATTTCAACTAGTAGAATCCAAGGTGTCAAGAACAAGAGGCGGATGTTTGCATGGTTTCATACACCAGTGGGTTTAGGGAGCAAAGTTCTGCCCATGAATGAAAGTTCCCAGCTTAGGATGATGAGTTGGTTGTGAACATCATCTTGTTTTTCAGTTTTAATATGAATCTAATACTGAACAGGCACAAATGTGAACATGCTTCCCTTCAAATATGTGCAACATGGCTCTTACTCTTCAAGGCTGTGAATGTGTGTTAGAATGAAGAGAGCTGACATGTCCCAAAGAGCATACTCAGATTTTGACACCTTCCCCATCAAACCTTTTTGTACCTTTTTGCCCTCGCACATTCTCTTCTTTCTGCCAGGAATCCCCCTCTCTTTTTCTGCTAGCTCATTTTACATATAGCCCTGACCCAGAGTCATGTCCTCTAAGAAGACTCCCTGGATTTCCCATATGAGTTTATTGACACCTTACTCTGTGTTCCTAAAGTCTGTGTGAAAATAAAAGCAGCACCATTATTAGTGCCTAATGCAGTCAAGCACTTTACATAGATTATCTCTGTACCCATATCACAGGTAAGAAAACTGAGGCTCAGTTAGTCAAGCTCAATATGACTGTTAAGTTTTGAAGTTGGGTTTTGGAATCCGTGTCTCTCAGGCTCCAAAGTCCATGCCTTTCTACTATACATCAGACAACTTCTTGCCTCAAACCTACCCCTTCCAGGAGCAGGTCATAAGTATGATTTTCACTCCCTATCTCCCCCTAGACTGTAACTTCCTCTAGAGCACACCTGAGTCTTATGATGTATCCCTATACTTGGCACACAGTGGATGCTAAAGAAATGGTTAAATGGATCAATAGATTGTTAAATGAGGAGCTTATCTTTTTATCTTACTAATTGACGGAGCTTTGCTTTTGATAAAATCATAAGACATGTACACACCTATGCCAAGTCGTCCACACAGCACCTGACTCCCAATGGAAGTCAGAAGTTTCTTAGCCAGCAGATCTGTATATTAACCCACTGCTTCTCCGATTTTAATGTAATACAAGTCTTCTGAATTTTGCTGAGTGCAAATTCTGATTTAAGAGGGCTGGGTGGGGCCTGAGGGTCTACATTTCTGGCAAGATTTCGATAATGCTGCTCATTTGAAGACCCCACTTGAGAGCCATTTGGGTCTAAACATAGCAGCAGAAGCAGCCATTGCTCTTTTGTTACCTTTGGCTGGTAACAAGTAATAAAACCTGACTCGTGCATTGGTCTCCTTCCAAAGGATGACCAGCTTCGAATACTCCTGATTTTCCATGTTTTAGCAAGATATTTAAGTTATGCTTTGAGATATAAACATTTGGCAGCATCAACATTTGTTTGCACTTTGGTTTAATCACACCCTATCAATAACTTACAAGTAAATGAAGGAGAGGAGATACTCACTGAAGGATTCCATTCCAGTGACAAGTGGATCAGGGGAGTGGGTAGGGTGGGGAAGGAACAGATGATCCTTCACAGCAGCCTTAATATCTGACGACAGCTTGGGAGCCTGAGAATGAGCCCCCATTGCATTTTTATTGGGAAGGACCTCACCCTTGCCTGCCCTCTGGCCACTTTTTCAGCTGATCATCTGGTAAACAGTAAGCAGCGATAAGCAGTAGTGCTCCTGGTAAATAGTTAGTAATGGCTTATTCATCTCAAGCCCTTTGAACCCTACGCAATCCCTTTGCTGGCATGCCAAGATTTTCAGAGGTCAAACATCCCCAGTCTAAGACATTTAGAAGGAAAACACCCTCTTTTCTGCTCCTTTTCCAGATGTCCTTGGGCCAGCAGCAGTCAGCAAGAGGTGTGCCTTGTTTGAGATGCAAGGGGACGTGTTCGGGCTTCGAGCCACATTCGTGGAGGTAACAGAGTTTGTCAGAGGAGGCTCTGCCTGCTTTCACTTCTTAGCTGTCCTTTCAAGGAACCTTGGTCATTCTCTGCTGGGACTGCTTAGGATGCACATCGTGGGAAGGGGTGGCTCTGGAGCAAAAGCACTTCTGATTGGTCTAACTCAGAAATGCCAGAAAAGCCCTTGGGAGCCAAGATGAAGGAGAAAGTTAGCGCTCCATAAACCATTTCAAGGTGGAGGCTGCCAGGCTCAGCCCAGCAAGAACTGCACTGAGACAGTATGGACAGTTGTTAGTTGCTGCCGGGTCCACTCTCGGTAGAACTGGCTGTCCTGGGATTTGGTGCATGGGGTTGCTCTCCTCCCACTGCACTATCTATCATGCCCATTGGTGAGTTTTGATCTGTAAGTCATTGTGTCCATAGTACTTAAAAACCAGGATCCAGTATTCATGTCCAAGTGGGAGGGTCATAAGATCCAGGTGGATTTTTTTTTTTTTTATTGAGGGCTCCAAAAACGAGGTAGGGCTGCCACACTTCACAACTCCCAGCACTATTCACTTCAGCATCTATGGGGATGGCAACCCAAGGGTTGTTCAGGCCTGTGAGAGAGAGGCTAAGCTCTGTAGGCCATGATAGTAAAAAAGGAGCTTTTTCTTCCCTGCCAGAGCATTGCCTTGGGCACTCAGTGAAGAGCAAAACTTGAAAGGTGTTTGTCTCAGAAATGTTGACTTCTACTGTGACACTGCAGTTATAAAAATATTTGTTGAACTGAGCCAAATATTTTGTTTTTAAAAGTTGAAATAACCCAAAACAGTAGATATTAGTATCTCCATTTTGCAGATCAGAAAACTAAGAATGAGTAATGAGGAGATGGCTACTAACTAGCAGGATTCAAACTCGGGTCTGTAAGAAACCTCATCCTATGCCTGCAACCATTCTGAAATACTGTGTGCCATGAGCTTTCAAAGCACAAGACTGTCCCTTGAGTCCATTCCCTGACAGTCCTCACCTCAGAGGCGTTCACTTGGTCTTCTGGATGCAAGGACCTTTCCCCTGCATAAATTTCTCCCTCGGTTAAAACACTCCTAAGAGGGGGAACCCTCACCCACACCCCCACCCCCACAGTGCATCTATTTTGGCCTCTTGAGCTCTTTCTGGCCTAGGGGAGAGTCAGCTTTCCTCTCATGTCACCCCATTGGTCCTAAAGCCACATCAGGGTGTCATAGAACAATGTTGGCTCCTCATCAGTTTAGGATCCTTAAGACAGCTTAGGAGGCCTCCTTTTAGAGTTCCTGGGGCAGGGGATTAATGTTCCCTAAATGCCTACACCAAGTCAGTTTAATAACGTTTCCCTCACAAATCACGGTCTCATGCTTCCTATTGCCTGACATCTGAGAATGGTCATTTAATATATTTCGTCTGGTTTTCTAGTTGTTTATGGGAGGAGGGCAATTCTGGACCCTGTTCCTCATGGCTCAGCATTGTTTTAATCCCTACATTTCCTCATCATCTGTCAAATTATTTGAACATCAAGTAAATTTATCCTTGAGAAATATAGATTGCAGCTTGTACATCCTACATATCAAATGTCATCTTTGATTTGAACAACCTTAACGGGGACCTAAATTCAAGCCATATTGGAGCAGTGAGGTCCCAGACCCTTAGGGAGGAAACCATGTCAAACCATTTTTATGCTCCAGTTCTCATACTTTCAATAGTTTGAAAGATATTTAAATGATCAAAGTGTCAGCCAGCCTGGTTTTGTGGGAAAGGCCCTCAACTAATAATCACAGGACAGAATTCTCTTGCTGACTCTGCTTGAACAAGACACTTCCCTTCTCTAAGTTTCCAATTTCTCATCTGAAAAATAGAGACATTGAACCTGATGTGCTCTAGGATCCCCTTCCAGCTTTACCATAGTTTTCCATAGTTTCAGGCAAATCGTTTGCAATCGAATGATTCATATGGTCAGTATAATTAGAATGGAATTAGTATTAATAGCATAGAATAGTAGAATTACTTAGAGAAGAGGATACAAGAGCAGACTTTCAGAACAAACATGTTATAAAATCATAAGGGGGAGTTCCCCCAGCAGCCTCTACCATCCCTCTTTCCAAATGGCCATGCCAGGTTTCCTGAGCATCTGGTCAACTTCACAGGATGCTGAATTTCCCTTCAGGACAAAAGAAAACACACCTTCAGCACTCCAGGTATTTCAGAACCCAACATAAGATCTCTTCCTTGCATGCAGAGATTGTTTTAAATATTATTGTTATTCTAATTAGCTTTATTTTTTCAATGTACACTGACTTCAGTGGGTAGAGAAAAAAACTCTGATTTGAGGAAAACAGGACGTAATATGAAAAATGGAAGAGAAACCACTAGCTCTTCAAATCACAAAATTTTGCATTCTTCAGGAGTTGCTGTTAATAGACTCCCCATTATCCTCATGGTGGCACCCCTTCTCATGAGGTCCTATCTCCAGGTCAGCTTTAGCAGCTGCCCCAGGAATTACAATTTAATTCTGCCTCTTCTCACCAGGACAGGAGATCCTCATAAATAATTCTGCAGTAATATAATAGCTGGACTTCCTGTGTTTTTCAAGGAACAATGTAGAGAAAGTCAACCTGAGTTGCTTAAATTCCTGAAAGGGACCAACTAGTAATTTGGAATGCATCAGAATCACCTCAGGACCAGCATCACAAGTCCCATGCCTGTATCCCACTCTGGATACAGGAATCTGACTAGCTGGGACCAGGGTGGGTCATGTCCAAGTTTACCAGCTCTCCAGGTGATTTGGGTGCACAGCAGAGTTTGAAATCTCATTAACTAGACCACTTTCTATAAAGGGCCAGATAGTAAACATTGTAGGCTTTGCAGGCCATATGGTCTCTCTCACACCTATTCACCTTGGTCTTTGTAGCATGAAAGCATTAATTTATTTAAGGACATGGAAATTCAAAATTTTTTTACCATTTAAAAATGTAAAAACTATTCATAGTTTACAGGCTATAGAAAAATAGGATTTAGCCTACGGGCCATGGTTTACAACCCTGATGTAGACCAAGCTTCTCATTTTACACAGAGGAAACTTGACCATGGACCTATGGTTTGTCAGTGTTCAGACTTGATTTGATGCCAAGGCTGTGTCTTTTCCAAACTTCCAGGTTGCCTATGACAGATTGCAGAAATGGTCATTTTAACATCATTGAGGACCTTTCTAGTGTATCTGTGTCCTGCAATCCAGGTACCAG